TTTTAGTAGAGACGGGGTTTCACCATGTTGACCAGGATGGTCTCGATCTCTTGACATTTTGTAATCCACCCGCCTCGGCCTCCCAAAGTGCTGGGATTACAGGTGTGAGCCACCGCTCCCAGCCTCCATTCTGTCCTTCTTAAAAAGACCTGCCTTTAAGAGAAACTATTTTGTCAGAGGCTAACTTATTGAGGTTTTGTGAGCACTTAATGATCTTGGTGAGGGAAATACCCAACTCCAACGCTGTCTGGCCATAATGTGCTATTTAAGGTGGGAGGCTGGGGAGACTGGAAGGCACTATGAAGTTCACAGCCCAGGAGCACAGGCTTACTAAAAACCTGAGACCTAATCACAGGACTATATAATACTTGCCCCCACCCCCACCACACCTCACTACCACATCAGGTGGTACCCAGTACATCATGTCTGGCTTTCGACCAAAAAATTATAAGGCATACTAAAAGGCAAAAAATAGTTTGAAGAGACAGAGCATCAGAACCAGACACAGATATTTTAGGAAGGGTAAAATTATCAGGGTAGGAATTAAAAACAACTATGATTAATATGATAAAAGCTCTAACGTGGCCAGGCATAGTAGCTCACACCTATAATTCCAGCATATTGGGAGGCCAAGGTAGAAGGATTGCTTGAATGCAGGAGTTCAAGACCAGCCTGGGCAACATGGCAAAACCCTATCTCTACAAAAAATACAAAAATTAGCTGGGCATGGTGGCATATGCCTGTAGTGCTAGCTACTCAGGAGGCTGAGGCAGGAAGATCCCCTGAGGCTGGAGAAGTCAAGGCTTCAGTGAGCAGTGATCACGCAACTGCACTCCAGCCTGAGCAACAAAGTGAGACCCTGTCTCAAAATGAAATTAAATTAAATTAAAAACTAAAAAATTTAAATGAGATGGGTGGGCTGGCATGCCAGTGTATTCCTAGCTACTTGAGAGACTGAGGCTGGTGGATCAGTCAGTCCCAGGGGTTTGAGGCTATAGTGAACCATGATTATACTACTGCACTCCAGCCTGGACACAGTGAGACCCTGTCTCAAAAAATAAGAGGCCAGGAGTTCAAGACCAGCCTGCCCAACACATTGAAATCCCATCTCTACTAAGAATACAAAAATTAGCCTGGTGTGGTGCTATGTGCCTATAATCCCAGCTACTTGGCAGGATGAGACATGAGAATTGCTAGAACATGGGAGGCACTGGTTGCAGTGAGCTGAAATCACACCACTGCACTCCAGCCTGAGTGACAGAGCAAGACTATCTCCAAAACAAAAAACCATTTGTTTCCAGCCAGGCATGGTGGCTCACACCTGTAATTCCAGCACTTTGGGAGGCCAAGGTGGGTGGATAACCTGAGGTTAGGAGTTCAAGACCAACCTGGCCAAAATGGTGAAACTCAGTTTCTACTAAAAATACAAAAATTAGCCAGGCGTTGTGGCCCGTGCCTGTAGTCCCAGCTACTCAGGAGGCTGAGGCAAGAGAATCACTTGAACCCAAGAGGCAGAGGTTGCAGTGAGCCAAGACTATGCCACTGTACTCCAGCCTGGGCAACAGAGCCAGACTCCGTCTCCAAAAATAAAAATAAATAAATAAGCTGGGCATGGTGGCTCACACCTATAATCACAGCATTTTAGGAAATCCAGACAGGAAAATCAGTTGAAGCTGGAAGTTTGAGACCACCCTGCAGAACACAGCCAGAGCCCATCGCTACAAAAATTACAAAAAATACTCAGACACAGTGGTGCACGTCAGTATTCACAGGTGCTCAGAAGGCTGAGGCAGGAGGATCACTTGAGCCCAGCAGTTTGAGGCTGCAATGAGCTATGATCATGTCACCGCACTCTAGCCTGGGTGACTCTGGGTGCACTCTTTTTTACGCCTCTAAAAAATATAAAGAAAAACGAAAAATAAATAAATGAAAGCTCCAATGGATAAATGTAATAAGACTGATGGAAATTCTGAGAAAGAGCCAAAAAAAATGCTAGACATTAAAAATACGATGAAGATTGACATTCACGAGCTTATCAGTTGACTAAACACAACTGAGGAAAGATTCTCTGAGCTTGACGATGTTCAGTAGAAACTGAAAAAGCAAAGAGAAAAAAAAACAGGCCAGGGGCGCTGGCTCATGCCTGTAATCCCAGCACTTTGGGATGCTGAGGTGGGCAGATCACGAGGTCAGGAGATCGAGACCATCCTGGCCAACATGGTGAAACCCTGTCTCTACTAAAAATACAAAAAAATTAGCTGGGCACGGTGGCACACTTAATCTCAGCTACTTGGGGGGCTGAGTCAGGAGAATTGCTTGAACCCAAGAGGCGGATATTGCAGTGAGCCGAGATCATGTCACTGCACTACAGCCTGGGTGACAGTGCAAGACTCTGTCTCAAAAAAAAAAGGGAGGGGCAGCAAATTATTCAAGAACTGCAGGACAATTACAAAAAATTATAACTCACAGAAAGAGAGAAAGAAACAAAAACTAGATATATAGACATATAGATTTTTGTTTTGGATGGAATTACATGGGAGTAGGTGGGATCACAGGCTCTCACCGCCATGCGCAGCTAATTTTTGTATTTTTAGTAGAGAAGGGGTTTCATCATGTTGACCAGGCTGGTCTCGAACTCCTGACAGCAGGTGGTCCACCTACCTCGGCCTCCCAAACTGCTGGACTTAAGGTGTGGGCCACTGTGCCCTACCAAAAACAATATTTGAAGCAATTATAAACTGAGAGTTTCTCCCAAATTAATGTTAGATATCAAACTACAGATTTAGAAAACTCAAAGAATACCAGGAAGAATAAATCCCAAGTAAATTGCACATAAGTATATCATATTCAAACTACAGAATATCAAAGATAAAGAAAAAAATCTTCAATGAAGCCAGAGGGGAAAAATACTCTTACATGTAGAGGGACAAAAATAAGAATTATATATGACTTTTTAGAAACCACGCAAGTAGGAACACAATGCAGTATATTTAACATGTTGGTAGAAAAATACCACCAACTTAGAATTCTGTATACTGTGAAATTTCCCTTCAAACTTAAAGGAGTAATAGACTTTCTCAGACAGATAAACATTGAGGGAATTTATTGTCAATAGATCTATCTTGCAAAAGTGATTTTAAAAAGTTATTTTATTATTGTTTTTAAATAGAAGGCCCTCCATGGAGGCTCATGCCTGTAATCTCAGCAATTTGGGAGGCTGAGGTAAGCCAATCACTTGAACTCAGGAATTCAAAACCAGCCTGGGCAACAAAGCAAAAGCCCATCTCTACTAAAAATACAAAAAAGTTAGTCAGGTATGGTGACACACACACTGGTAGTCCCAGCTACTTGGGGGTCTGAGGTAGGAGGATTGCTTGAGCCTGGGAAGTCAAGGCTGCAGTGAGCCCTGATCGTGGCCTGTGTACTCTGCACAGGCCACGATCAGGGCTCACTGGGAGTGCACAGGCATGATCAGGGTTCACTGCAAAAAAAAAAAAAAAAAGAAAAAATAATTGGAGATGGGGTCTCGCTATGTTGGCTAGCCTGCTTTCAAATTCCTGGCCTCAAGTATCTTCCCACCTCAGCATCCCAAAGTGCCGGAATTATAGGCATAAGCCACCGTGTCTGGCCAAAAGACATTCTTCGAAGAGAAAAAAATTGATAAAGGTCAGAAAATCGATAAAGGTCAGAAAATGAAATCTACATAAAGAAAGGAGGAACATTAGAGAAGGAATAAGTAAAGATAAAAAGATAAAATCTTTTATTTTCTTATTCTTAATTGATCTAACAGATAACTGGTCAAAATAATAAGAGCTCCTCAGCCTCCCAAAATGCTGAGATTACAGGCACAAGTCACCATGAAAAACAATAATAATAAACAATAATGGCAACGACGTACTCAATTATATACGTAGAAATTTTGAACTAAATAAAAATGAAAATATAATTTGTGGGATGCAGCAGTAGCAATGGAAGGGAAATTTATGTCACTGGACACATATATTAGAAAAAAAAAGACAAATCCAAAATCAATAATCTGTGCTACCTCCTTAGAAAACTAGAAATAGAAGAGCAAATTATAGACAAATTAAGCAGAAGAAAAGAATTAATAAAAGTCAGAAAAAATGAAACTGAAAATAGAGAAATTAACAAAAAAACAAAAGCCAGTTATTTGAAAAGATGAGTAAAATTAATAAGTCTCTCATTACACTACAAAAAAAAGAGAGGAAATAGTTACTAATATCTAAATTAAAAGAGTAGACATAACCTGGTTGGCCCCATCAGTAAAAATTAACAAAAAAAAGAGTGGACATCACTTAAGGCCCCACAGACATTAAAATGATAATAACACGACTATTCTCACAAATTTGACAACCTGGATAAAAAGGACCAATTCCTTGAAAGACGTAAGCTGCCAAAATTCACACCCACAAAAAATAGGCAATCTGTAAAGACCCAGGATTATTTTAAAAATTGAATCGATAATTAATAAACTTCCAAAACAGAAACCCCCTAGGCCCAGATAGATTCACTGGCAAATTATATCAAACACTGAAAGAAGCAACTGTATGAATTCTTTATAATTGCTTTCAGAAGACAGTAGTAGAGGGAATACTTTCTAACTCCCTAGCTACTCAAAGACCAGGGAGGACCATTGTGGGCTTCACCTGGGAGCTGGTTAGAAATGTGGTATCTGTGCTTGCTTTTTTTTGGACATGGAGTCTCATTCTGCAGCCCAAGATGGAGTGCAGTGCGTGATCTTGGCTCACTGCAACCTCTGCCTTCTGGGTCCTGGTTCACACAATTCTCCTGCCTCAGCCTCCCGAGTGGCTGGAATTACAGGTGTGCACCACCATGCCTGGCTAATTTTTGTACTTTTAGTAGAGACAGAGTTTCAGCATGTTGGCCAGGCTGGTCTTGAACTCCTGACCTCATGATCCACCTGCCTCAGCCTCCCAAAGTGCTGGGATTACAGGCATGAGCCAACGTGCTCGGCCTCTGTGCTTGCTTTGAGAGCACATATATTAAAATTGTAACAATACAGAGAAGATGAGCATGGCCCCCTACACAAAAATAACCCACAAATTTGCGAAGTGTTCCACATTTAATAAAAATACAGTTTTAAATAACGCAGAATTTTGTGCTTCAGCCTAGACCTACACTCAAAACCTGCAAGTTTATGAAGATCCGCAGGTGATTCACATGTACTTTAAGTATTAAGATGCACTGGTCCTCAAACTATCTGCATACTGGAGTCTCCTGGAAGAGATTCTAATTTAATTGGTATGAGTGTGGCCTGGGATTTTTAAAAGCTCCCCAGGCAATTTAAAATTCAGCAAAATCTAAAGAGAGGTCTCAGAAGCCAAGATCACGGAATGAATATAGGTGAAGTATCATTTTGCTTACCTCAAAGGGCCTTATCAATGGCAGTATACATGGGCTGCCATCTAACCCGCCACTAATGGCTAGAGTCCCATAATGCCCCCCTCAACTTTCCGCCAAGAAATGTGAGAGCCTAGGCATTATGTGATGGTTCACACCTGTAATCCCATCACCTTGGGAGGCCAAGGCGGGGGGATTGCTTGAGGCCAGGAGCTCAAGATCAGCCAGTGCAACGTAGCAGGAACCCATCTCTACAAATATATATATTTAATTAGTTGGACACATAGTGTTGTAGGACTTTCTCCTTAGGGTCCTTGTCACATGACCAGAAAAGATTAAGCTAGCAGACACTTTGAAGGTTGAGAAAAATGGAATTTATTGGGTGAAAAGGGAAAAGGGAAAACAGGGACTGTAAGCAAAGTGAGGGTCCTGGTGGCTGCTCTCCCACCTCACAGACTGAATCCCAGGTTACCATCCTGGAACAGGAGAGTCCGGGCTCCTCCCCACTGCAAAGGGCGCAAACTTCCAGTGGCTCCACCTCGTTCTGCCAGTGTGCAGGCTGGTCAGAGGTTCTCCAGGGACCCCTATATATTTGGCTGTCTCAGTAGTACACACATGTAATCCTAGCTACTCAGGAGGCTGAGGCAGGAAGATCACTGGAGCCCAGGAGTTGGAGGTTACAGTGAGCCTTGATCGCACCACTGCACTCCAGCTGGGGCAACAGAGAGGGACCCTGTCTCTAAAAATAGTCAATAAATAATAAAATCCATTTGAAAGATTGTATTTTTAGAACTATGTGTTTCAGTGGTTTAGTAGCATAGAATTCTCTGTACTTTACCTTTCTCTTTCACTCCCACCAAAATTCCTTACACTAGAAGGGTAGGTTTCCATTTATAGATGTAAATTAATTAAAAAATGTTTTATTTAGCCTGCCATTAAGCCACAAATTATACGTTAATTAAATTTGTGTTCGGCAAAATGATAGTTTAATGGGGTTCCAACTTAAAACCAATACAACATTGAGGATGATTCAAAAGACTGTACTGCAAATTAGGAACTGGAGAGGTGAGAAGAGTGTGGGGACAGAATGGAGGAGGAAGCAAAGAAGTGAAAGAACTGAGGGAAAGACCAGAGAAAGGAATACTCCCCTGTTCTTTTTGGTTTTGTAAACTGTTAATGACAACTGGATTCTAGAAGCTGGATTCAATGATCTAGGGCTCCAGCAAACTGACAGTCATGGCTGGTTTCTATAGTTAACAAACTGTAAAACTATTTCTTCAAAGAGGTTTAACCAGAATGTTCCAATACTGGAGCTTCAATATACCTTGAGAGCTATGCCTAAGAAACTTGAAATCAGGCTGGGTGCAATGGCTCACACCTATAATTACAGTACTGTGGGAAGTCGAGGTGGGTGGATCACCTGAGGTCAGGAGTTCGAGAACTCTGTCTCTACTAAAAATACAAAAATTAGCTGGGCGTGGTGGCAGATGCCTGTAATTCCAGCTACTCAGGAGGCTGGGGCAGGAAAATCACTTGAACCCAGGAGGCTGAGGTTGTGGTGAGCCGAGATTGCATCATTGCACTCCAGCCTGGATGACAAGAGTGAAACTCTGTCTCCAGCAAAAAAAAAAAAAATGAAACTTAAACTCATGTTTAAGACTTTACTTAAACAAAAGGGCAACTAAATTTTTCTGATATTATTAGAATAAAATTATTCTAGTGGCACAAGGTATTATTTTTTACAGATTACCCTGAGATAACTTACTTCCTACTTTTGTACCAGAAAATCTTAAAGCCACAGCTGGACCAAAGGTATTTCAGTTGCAAACTTGAATAGAAAAGGTGACTCTATAATTATTCCTTTTTAATCACTTCGCAAATTTTCTCTTTCCTCTTCTTTCTTTCTCTAGTTTTCTTCAAGTAGGAAATGATTTTGTTTGCTTCGCAAAGAGCTAACATAACTCAGCTATAAAGAATTCAAGCCAGCCAGGCATAGTGGCTCATGCCTGTAATCCCATCCACTTTGGGATGCTGAGGTGGGCAGATCACAAGGTCAAGAGATCAAGACCATCCTGGCCAACATGGTGAAACCCCGTCTCTACTAAAAATACAAAAATTAGCTGGGCATGGTGGCACACAGCTGTAGTCCCAGCTACTCTGGGGGCTGAGGTAGGAGAATCACTTGAACCCAGGAGGTGGAGGATGCAGTGAACCGAGATTGTGCCACTGCACTCCAGCCTGGTGACAGAATGAGACTCTGTCTCAAGGAAAAAAAAAAAAAAAAAAAAGGAATTCAAGGCAGGCAATTGCCTGCTGCAAAAATATGTAATACTGATGATATATGTTTAGTGTGTCATTTGGACATGGAAAATAACTTTGCTATAGATACTCAATATAACGAAGAGCATAGGCATAAAGATACTCACAGTAGCCAATAGTTCCAAGTGTATGCACACGTTTTGCACATCTTCAGTATATTTTAGATCTTAGTTCAGTTAGCCTTACTTGGTAAAGCAAGAAAGCTTCATTTTATTTTATATGTTCTGTTGCCTTAAAATAAAGGGAGATAGTTGACAGTGTTTTAAAGGAATAAGAAAACTGGTTGCTTTTAGCAGAAGGGAATTTGTCATTCTCTCCATCAGAGAAGGATTAATTGTATTGTTTTGGAGGGAGTGGGGATTAGGATGGGAATATTTGAATTTCATTATTAGAGTAGGTGGGTGAAACATGGAAATATACTTGAAACTAGGGTCCTAAGCTGCCAAAGTGTTTAGCGGTTAAGTGCAAAATATGTTTGCAATTCCCACAAAACAGGAAGACCAGACTGTCTTGAACAATGTCGCTCAGTATCTTAAGAGTACTGCCAATTCTTATTCTTGGGTTTGTTTTCTAAAAGCTGCTTCCTCTTTGGCTAGGAGCTGTTCACCTTTTCCTGAAGCACGTCTACCAACAGGGGCACACAAGGAAATGTCCAGTGAATTCCTGTAGTTTTATTTTCTTTAAATTCCACTGACAAAGAGCTTGACAGCGTGGTAAAATCACTGAAGATGTTAGTGCTTGGGCTTTTCTCTACAAAATCATTGAAAAGTCTTCCAAACGCACCAGCAGATTGCAGCATTATCAGTTTATCAGTACGTACGTTATTAGCCCTCTAGGGAGCTCTTGCCGAACTCTCCACAGGTTTATTTGGTAAAGCCAAGATTCTAATCTTTTTTTCTTTCCTCAAAATTTTTTCCAAGTCTCAGGACAATCTTCATCTTAATATTAAAATGCATAAGCATTAAAATCCTAAGATACGTGTTCCAATTATGATTTGAAAGTTGTTTTCTCTGAAAAAGTAGGGATCTAAGCTTTTTACACTACCTTTCAATATGCATTAAAAATAAAAGCTATAATAGAAATGACCCACAGATGCACATTTTATTCTGAAAACTTACCATTCTGTTCCTCTTTCATAAAGTTACTCTTATCCTTTGTATGTGGTCACCAGTCCCATCAGTTCTTCCTTTGCAATGTTTGAGGAATCTGTCTCTCTCCATAACCTCCAACCTTACTTTATCTTAACCCTTTATTATTTTATATCTGGGCTGTCTTCCAACCTAGTCTCTGCCACCAATATTTTGTTCTCTAATCCAACCTAAACTGTCCTGTACTCTATCTCCAGTATTGTCTTTATTCTAGAAATATCAAACTCTTTCTTCATATTGTTGCCTGTAGAAGATCCACTAATTCTCCCAACTAAAAGAATCAAGTCCTGGCCAGGTGCAGTGACCTGTAATCCCAGCATTTTGGGAGGCCAAGGTGGGAGCTTTGCTTGAAGCCTGGACTTCAACACCAGCCTGGGTGATAGAGCAAGACCATGTCTTAAAAAAAAAAAAAAAAAGAATCAAGTCCAAGCTCCTGACCCTTGGAAGCACAGTCACCACATCTTGATGCTACACAGCCTTTCTCCACACTTCTTCTGTTTTAAATTTTTTTGTAGTTTTTTTTTTTAAAATAAAAATGATGGTTGGATGCCATGAAGTAGATGGCAATGCCTTACCCGTATGCTTGTTGTCAGGCCTCAGGGCCTCTTCCATCCCTGTCAAGAGAAGTGTTAACTTTCTCTCCTTTCATTCGACACTCCCCATTCTTCTAAGACAGGCATCTCATAATCATGCCTCTTATTTTCTCACTTCTATCCTTTCTTCACACTCTTGCTACTCATGCCATTCCCAATGTATTATTAATTTTAATACCTAGATCCAGGTCCACCTTCTCCACGAAACCTTTCTTCACTACTACTCTGTCCCACAGTGGTCTCACCCTCCTTTGAGCTCTTAACATTTATTCTTGAAACAACAAACCCAATAGTCCCATAGATAGTTTTTTTTTTTTTGGTATAAACAAAGAAATTGACCCTTCTGGTCTTAAAGTTTGAAACTTACATTTGTTTTATCTGAGTTATTTCCTCAGAAAAGAACCCCAAGCCTCTGAAAAAGTATCAAAGAACTGAAACTCACTAGATCATCACATCCAGACAATGAGACACCAGGCCCTGCATTGATCAGGATTGATTCCTTCCACCTCCCCAGCTCCTATTTTCCTACACATTGTTGCATTTCTTCCCTGCTATATAAACCCCTGATGTTAGTTGTTCAGGGAGAAGGATTTGAGACCGAGCTTGCGTCTCCTCAGTACAGCACCTGGTTAAAACCTTCTTCCTTGGCAATACTTCTCAGTGACT